TATGTACACAAAGCACCGCTAATTAGTTCGTAACGCTCACATCGACACTACTGTCATTTACACAATGTACATGTGTGGGTAATTTCATATTACTGTGTATAAAAATATTCGTCCACCACGTTCACATTGGTATTTTCATTCTTGTGTCGGTATACGTATTTTTATAATTTAATGCATGGGTAAGGTTAAAACTATTTACAATCATTGATATGACCCGACATTTTCACTGTAATTATCGTAGTGCTCGTGGTCGATTGGTTAATGAGTACGCTTTTATCGTCTTTCAAGGATCAATGATGATGTGGGTTCTATTCCAGCTAAAAGTTTTTTTTTATTTTACCTTGTTGTTTTTCTTATTTATTTTTTTTTTGTTTTTTGTCATATAATATAAATATCAGGCTATAAAAGAAGCAAATCAGTCGGTAAATAAAACAATACTATTTTTTATTAAAATTAATTTATTAATTATACAAATATGTGGTTTTATATTCAATATTTATATCTAATAATTAATTATATACCACATGTTAACTTTAAAGTTCTTCCAATCATTCTAAATTATTCTAAATAATAAATAACTAGAACTAAAATATAAATAAAGGATATTATAGGTATAAATAAATCTAAAGTATTTACTATTAAAATTAACATAAGATTTAGAAAAATAGGATAGGAAAAAAAGAAAAGATTTAATTGTTTCTAATTTCACATTTCAAATATTTGATTAATTAATACTAAAACAACATGTGAATGCTGGAATCGATCCGGTGGCACTTTACTTGACCACTGGAGGCGATAACCATTGCGCCAAGCGCGCCGTAGATGAGAACATCGAAATATTGTATATCATTCAGTAACATAAAAATACAATGAGAATGCACTATATTTATATAAGTATTGTATTGCTCGATCGTTCATTATTTTTGATTTCGATTTATTCAAAGTTTGTTATGAGTATTTTTATCTTTACCCTCGTTTTTATTTAAACTTATTTACTAAAATATTACGTATACCGACACAAAAATGATATGTAATACCAAGATGTGTGTGATAGAACGAATGTTTCTATACATATCTATTAATATGAAATTACCCACACATGTTCACTGTGTAAATGATAGTAATGTCGATGTGTAGCGCCTCGAACTAATTAGCGGTGCTTTGTGTACATAGCAGTGGGGTTAGTGTTGTTATGTTTCGTGGTGCTCGCTGTGTGGACTACGTGGTTCAGGCAGAAACCTGATGCACCTCCTATGTTGCCAGGTTTTCTCCCGATAATAGGACATTCACATCATCTTATCGGAGACCGTAAACGTGAGTTAATATCATTTAACTTTATTTTTTTATTGAATTTACAAAAGAAAATCCTAACCTGGGTCACTACATGTTTAAACATCAAACGTGTGGTTTTAGATTTGTGTTGACTTGTTATACTGTAATATTACAGATCTCTGGAAGTATATAAAATACTTTACCTCAACGTCACTCAAGTATGGCGGAGTTGCAGAAGTATGGTTTGGCATAAAGAGACATTATGGTAAGAAAAAGCAGATATTAATGAAAAGAAAAATAATTGCGTCATGCTTAATCATTTTAGAAATCTTCCTTCTTAAATATTATATCTCGCAAATCTCCCGCTAAATATCGTGGGTATTCATAATTATTAAACTATACAATTGTTTTGTTAACATCAGTAAAGACTTAAAAAACTAAGCTTTGCAAAAAATAATAATGATGCCGATTCGGAGTCGCGGAGAACCTAACGGGTAACCGGGGCTCCGGCTCCACGTGCAGGAGAAGGAACGGGGTGGTTTTTAATCAGTAAGAGACACTCCCTCCCCCCTCACCTAGGTGGGAGCAGTCATTTGATGATTTTCCCCCCTTAAAAAAAAAAAGAAAAAGAGGAGAGTAGGCTTTTTACCTCACAAAAACCGTTGACTTCTTCACCTAGAGCCCGCATCGGGTCGTCTAATACACATGCTCCGGAGCCCCCTATGGTGCAACTATTATTACGGCACGACCTAGAACCATGCTCTATAAGGTACGTACCTAATACACATCATTATACTAATATGTACGCATTAACTATTTCAGTTCTAACCGATCCAGATGATTGCCTTAAACTGGCCAATACATGTTATAGTAAATCGTACATCTATGACTTTGCAAAGGACTTCATAAACAATGGATTAATTACAGCAGACGGTAAGTTTCAACTCATAAAATTAGAGTTGTTTTATTGTTAATTTTGCTATAGTGAATCTGTATGCCTCAAAGTATTTTCTATTTTAATTTACCCGACCGAAGGAAGGATTTTTTGTCTCTTAGGCGCTGTCTCCACGAGCGAGAGAATCGCGGCGATGCCACGTTTTTATATACTCTCTCTATGGAATCGCCGCGACTCCGTAACGACTCGCGACGATACGCGGTGGAATTACCGCTCGGTCGTGGAGATTATCCGACGATATAAGGACGGACTCGTCGCGATTCTCTCGCTCGTCGAGACAGTGCCTTATTATTCAGTAGACAGAAAAAAAAGATAAAACATGTTTCTTTTTCTTTGTACAAAACCAAAAACGCACAAAGATATTTTAGATATTGCGCAATGATGTATACAGTATACGTCGTATATTTATACAGATTGAAAAAAAATGTAGCTTTACTTGTACTGAATAAACTGAAAACATTTCTTATCCGATATTTTTCTTTATTATTTAGGTAGGTATCGAATTAAATGAATGTTCTGAAAGAAATAAACTTTGTTGTTTGCAGCGGCCACATGGAAAGTGCATCGCAAATTATTAAATCCTGCTTTTAACCAACAAGTTTTGGATACATTCATTAACGAAATGAATATTCAAGCACGAAATGTTGTCTCAAATTTGAAAAATGAATTAGAAAATGAGTCTTTTGATGTTCTGCGCCACATAGTCAGCTTCACGCTATCAACTGTTAGCCGTAAGAATTTATATACCTAATTTTTCCTGTGTCTCATGCCAACCCATGATCTTACTTTAACTTTTACAAATAAGCTATAGATTAAAAAGTCTAGCATGTCATCGAATTTTGCTTACCACTGAAATAATATTTTGTGTTAAATGAAAATTGTCTAAAAATTATGTGTTTACATTTCAGGAACATCTCTTGGGTTAACAGATGAAGACCAAAAGATAATAGACACGGATTATGCTGCAGCTATCGACTCCATATTTGCTCTATACTGCGACAGATTCCAAAAAGTTTGGTTGCATCTCAATTTTATTTTTAAGTGGAGCGAAATAAAACGCAAACAAGATAGACTATTGAAAATTTTGCATGATATTATGATTCCGGTAAGATATTTTTATACGCTATTAGTGTTTGAATTAATAATATTCCATTTGAAGAATATTGCGTAATTCTATCATTTGCAAAAAAAAGAGAGATAAAGAGACTAGTTTTTTTCTGCTTCCTCGAAGATATAATTAATTTCTGGTTTCATTTTGAGATTCTAGACAGTCTATTCTGGGACGCCCAATATTTGTTTAGGTTTGATTATTTATGGTTATAAATATACACTAAAAAAATATAAACCAACCGGTTTCCACCGTAGATCTTAGCTTACGCTTGGCTTGGTAGAGGTACGAGTTGTATTCCTTGGACAAAAGTAGCCTTAAAAACACATAAAGTATTAACCTGAACTTTCAATAATTTGTGTTAGAATAAAAACAAATTATCAATATGAATTCAGTGCTTAAAAATTGTTTTTTAAATATCGGGGCTTGTGTAACAAAAACTTATAACAACTTTTTCAGCTGATATTGAAAAGAAAATCGGAGCTGTCGACTAAAAGAGAACCTACGTATTATGAAGATAGGCCCGGTAATATAACATTATGATTTTTCATTTATATTTATTTCATATACTGACTGTCTCGTTGGCCGAGTGGTCGCAAGTGCGGCAAGGGGTTCTGGTTCGATTCCCGGGTCGGACAAAGTATTACTGGGTTTTTAAAAAAAATCTCAGTAGTGGCACGGAGTCTGGAAATGTGCCCGGTATATGACAATAGCCTCACCCCTTATTACATGGGACTCATAACATAAATAGTGAAAAGTGGGTGCTACATTATACAGTGGCCTAATGTGCAACTCTGCTTAACCCCTTCGGGGATAAAAGGTGTGATGTTATGTTATTTCATATACTCCTTGATAAATAGTATGTATGTATGTATATATGTATTGGGTCGGCAAGACGCATGTAATGCCCCAAGTGTTGCAGGCGTACATAGGCTACGATACCCGCTTACCATCAGGTGGGCCATGTGCTTTTTGAAAAAATGTACTTTCAAATATATGATTTTATTATGATTAAAAAACCTTCTTCGTGTGAGAAGAGGCTTTACTCAGCAGTGGGCATTTATAGGCTGTTGATGATGATGATTATAAAATCCAATGATTGTTGATGAAGCGAAAGAGATATGTAAGAATCGTAGCAATTGGCGTTTCATAGTCTATGCCTACCATGGGCGACAGGCTTGAGGTTATGTGTGATTATAAAAAAAACACATGCAGTAGACCACCCGTAACGGGAGAAATCCTAACTACCAATAGTCAAGGCTCCAGAGACAAGAATTTCCGGACGCGCCGTGTCCTGAAGTACTCCTTTCTGCATCAGGACCCGAACCCTTGACCCACTCAGGTGTTAGTCGGTTTAGAAATGAGGCCATTGGTGAATACAACTATGGGCACAATAATTACTGAATCCACATCCCACAGGTCGACAATCTCATGAGCTGAATATATTTACTTGCTTTATCTTTTTCTGCTTTTACGAGATTTTTGTCATGTGGGATTGTTATATCAATTACCGTTAAACAACGGCTTGATCGATCTATTACCACAACGTCAGTGCCTTTACCCAAACGCCACTTTAGCGCTTGTCTATTGAGAGAGTAGAAATCAAAATGTATGCGGATGATACTGACAAGTGTAAAAATGTACGTCAATTCCAAATGTTTTAGTTTTGTACTGTACAAGTAGACAAGTGCTAAATGGCATCTGGCTACAGCTGCAGGTTTGTTAGGAACAATTGTCCTGTTTGTGATGATAGCTCAATCTCAATACAGCATGATAACTTCACAATAATTATAAAATGTAATACTTTGTGTGCCCACATTTTTTTTCCATTTTTATGAGATAGGTGGCTAATGGCACTGGCGCCGCCCATAGCAACAACAGAAGGTTCTGTAAACCTTAAATTCCATAAGGTTGCTCGCGATTCCCCTTTTTGGTGGCTGTACTTTGATTGGATATGCGGAAGATGGCCTATTGTCAGTACAGTCCAATATCCGCGCCGTACTGAAGAATTTGGTTGAAGTCTGTCTCTGTTCCTACAGATTCTTCCTGCGATGGGGCGAACGAAATCGCTTGAATTTTGCACCCCATGAAACTTACCAGCTGTTTTGTAAAGGCAATTTGAAGTCGTGGCTGTCTATTAAATACAACAACGTTTCCAAAAAACTTAAGGACTCTGTTTGCAATATCGGTTTAGTTTTAAAAAAAAAACTTTTGTTTCATTAGCATATTAAGGCTATTAGTGAAAAAGCCAATAATAACTTTTATGCACTGACGCGAATTTTGAAAACCACAATCTCTTTTTTCTTACGCTCAGGACCATATACGTCGTACACTTGGGTCTGGTGCTGGTCGGCTGGCGAGTTACCCGTGCTCACCATCCGCAGGCCCGTATTTACGATGGCCGAAGATCATCTTGCGATCCTCGACTTAATTGTTTCGTTAGGTGTAGCTTATTATACGGACTTTGTGGATTTAAAACAAACTTTCGTTCGTTTAGGCGCTTTTATAATAGATATGGTACGGCGGCGCTACTGTGTCATAATAAACATCGACTCCGTAAAATTAATTGTTTTAAAAATAGTTAAAAGTGAATTTTTGCTGTGGAAACGCATAAAATATATAAATAACTGTGAGACAATCTGTGGAAATAACAAATGAACAGTGTAACTTGAAGTGCCTGGAAAAAAATAGTGAAAAAGACCACAACAACAAATATAAATATTCCATGAACTGGTGAAGTGCCTATTACGGACAATTTAGAACAACCCTGAACAATTCATTACTAAAAAGCTGTTAAATCACCGGGATAGCACAAATTTCAGTAGAATCTTATTAGAACTCAAGAAAAATAACCTCAAAATATATGCACAATCATCATACGTATTTGTCATCGACCAATTTGCATAACAACGCCATCTAGTTTAATATCCGGCACTCTTAAATACACACGCCATCTATCAGACTAACGAAAAACTAAATAGTAAGCTACCGGCCTAACAGGCCGAAGTGTGATAGCAAACCATACTAGCAATCGATAACTCTCCGCAGCCCACCCAAAGAGGGCGCTGTTACCGTTATTACTATTATTGCTGTGAAATATGGAGGATATCAAGAACATACTTATCAGTCTACAAGAAGAACTCAGACAGCAGAAAGTCGACATGCAAAATATGAAAGAAGAATTAAAAAATACAATTATTAACACTGTCAATGACAAAATCACACAATTGGAAATAAAAAATGAACAAATAGAACAAAATATAGAAAACCAAAAGGCTGCCACAGACAATTTGGAAAGATTCAATAGAAGGAGAAACTTAATATTTTTTGGAGTTTTTATAATAACTATCGTGAGACATACTAAATTAAGTAAAAACGCGGGTTACTCACGTGAATATACTGAGAAAAGCTCTACTAGTTTCGAACCACAGAGGGGTTCTTCC